CTACTCTGTTTATGACCAAGAGTAAATCTTCTCATGAGAAACTGATAAACACTGCAGAGAGCCTGCAATCAGCAGGAGTGTGCTTTATGCAAATTTGCAAAAGGTGGACACTTCTCTCTAAACGTGATGTTCCTGATGGAAAAGATGCAGGGGACACACTTTCCTTCATGATCAATGTTCCTCCTTTCCAGGTTTCTGGCTGCTATGGGAATATTTGTGGGGAGATGTAATCTAAGAGATGAGATACTAGAGCATACAAGAGTTCTCAGAAAGGAAGAAGGGGACACAGTCCCCATAAGACCAAGGAGAGAGCATATTGCTTCCTGTTGACTGAGTCAGCAATGACACTCTGAGGCGTTCTTTCTCTGCCCGTAGCTGGCAGCTTTGCCAATTGACAAAACTCAAAGAGGATGGAGATCCAGGTACAGCGGACCCACTTGGATCCACCTGCTTCTGGAAGCCTGGGCTCCTACCTCATCTGGGACACAGTGAAGTGATGCTGCAGCTTTACTGCCAAGTCCCTTTGCCGGGTGAACAGCTCCTTCTGCTTCATCAGGGACTGAAGATTTTCCTCATGACTTTGAAGTTCCTGTTCATTAGAAGATTGTGTTTTTAGGTGAGGTTGTCCTAACCATGTACATAAACATGCATTCTCTCTCTCTCTCTCTCTCTCTCTCTCTCTCTCTCTCTCTCTTTCTCTCTCTCTCTCTCACACACACACACACACACACACACACATGCATGTGGATGCACATATACAAGCACACTACATTTCAACCACACTTAGTTTTCCAGATAACTTATGTAAGAAGAGATCACCTGGGATACTATGGAGAACAAAGTTACCTTTCATTAACCTACACTCTCTACCCATATTCCTGCCTGGAGGCAGGAAACACAGGATGCTCTGAGCACAGGGATATGGAGAATATTGTGTGCTTTTACTCGGTTTTGATAATTTTTCAGTTTATTTTTAGTTTATATGTGTAGATGTACAGCCTGCTTGTGTGTCTGTATAACATGTGCATGCCTGGTGACCTGGGAGAAGAACTCAGTGGGTAGATAAGTCAATGCAGTGGTTGCCTTGAAAACCTGTACACAGACAGGTGAACACCAGGGTTCCTTGATCTGTAATCTAAGATCTATTAGCAAGTTCCCCAGTCCGTTCATTGAAGGCTTAGTTCCCCAGCACAGGAACACTGGATGGCAGTGGACCAGCCCCTTGCTCTCACTCAGTGCTTCCCAGGGCCTCCAAGGAGGGCAGCTTCCTCCTAAAGAAGCTCTCTATACCACAGGTTGCCTCTATTTAGGCCCAAAGGAATGAGCTCAGAAAACTAGAAAAGCTCTACAATACAGAGTCTATTTTAAACATTCCTCCAAGTAAGTTGATTGTGTTAGGGATTTCTTTGAGTAACAGTAGGTTGACTAACTCACGGCCAAATGACTGCATATATTATTCCATACTTCACAATATCCCATGGACCACATTGTATGTTTGCACTCATCAGTGATGGGTATCTGAAGAGTTTCTAGTTGGGCTGTTCTGATGAGTCCTGCTGTATCCCTGTTGTCCCCTATTCTCTGTGGACACCACTTTCCATTCTGGAATCAATGCTCCACCTGAAGTCTGTAGTTCCACTTTCTGAATAATTGCACATACCTTCTCATAGGGCTGCACCATTTTACACTACTAGCAATGTCTGAGAGTTCTCATTTCTCCCAACTCTCCATCAGGCTGAATTAAACTCAGGATGAAGACTTTTGGAAAAAAAGCAATTTCTGAGTGCTGCAGACACAATATGGAGTGGGTACTTGAAAGTATGATGAGCCTAAGCGGTACCCTAAGACAACCTCATCTCACACCTCAGCATAGCTGTGGGACTTCTGTTGGCCTGGGATACAGCCACAAGCACCTCTGCAGTTCAGAATTTCTCTGAGAATAAAGTTCATGCCAGCTCCAAGGGCAAGGTTAGCTGAACCAAAGTAGGGCAAAGGTGAATGGAAAATGGCAGCAAGCGATGAGGAGAAGAACAAAACAGGATGCAGGAAGTCATCAGTGACCAGCCTCCTTTCACCCAGAGCAGAGAGGGACACAAATCTTTCCGGCCTTTCCTTCATCTCAGTAGCCCCTCTCTCACCTTCATGGACCCCATTACTTTGTTTTTCTCCAGAGGATTTCTTTGCAGATAAATATTTCTGCCTCTACAGATACCTGAAGAACTTTTAGCTTGCATCAGTTATGTGGCCTTTGGTTGTAGTTAGCTGTGTGGACATGCAGAAGGATGTGCAACAACATCTGTTCTTTGATGGAGGCAAAGTGGTACTAACCAGATTAGGCACAGTACTTTCTCATTGAAATCCATCTCCATCATTCTTAAAGATGTTCCATTGTTCCGTGAGAGAGTGAACATACCCACAGAGGCTCAAACACACATTCTCATTCCTCAAAGATACACATAAAAGCAACAACAACAACAACAACAACACACACACACACACACACACACACACACCTTTCTTGAATCCAGAAAGGCAAGATAGAAGACTAGAATGTTGCAGCACCTTTTCTACTCCAGCGGGGGACGTAGTGGGTCCTCGCTGCTGTCTACAAGCCTCTTAAACCCAGCCAAGCTCTTCTGTCCTGGCCTGAACTTATTTCCCTTCCCAGGGAAGTTCTTAACACCAGACTCACTGATCGTACAGATAAGTAACAACCTCTGCACAACTGAGTTGGACCACACAAAACCAAGTGCTGGGGGAAAAGGGTGGGACATGAAGCCTCCCGATAGATTTAAGTTGAACCATCATCGTCTCCTCACTGAACTTATCCTGACTCCTCCACAGAAAACATCGACAGCACCAGAGACTAGAAGTCACCCATTGTCATTACCCAACAACTTTTGACCAGATTACAGTGCACATTATATGAAAACAGCCCCAGGCCAGTCAGTGGAAGGTTATTTAGGTCATCCACAGCACTTTTCTAAAATGCAGCACTCTATACAACTATGAGTTGGACTAAGAGTGAGCTTCAAAATATCAGGTTACATGTTGTGAAGCCAGTAGACAAAACAGACCTTTCCTGGGAAGTTACCTCTATGCTGTGAAAGAAAAGAAGTCTACTTTTTCATTTTTAAAGTAGCTCCATTGTTTGATTTTTGTTATTTATTATAAGACACATTAATTCCAAAGTAATAAACATGTTTAAAAATGAAGAGAAACCAACAAATCAGTTCTCTTTCTGAACAAAGGAACCATTTAGCAATGAAATGAGACAGAAAAAGACAGGACGGTCTACTGTGAGGAGACAGGAGATCCAAAGATCTGTGGCTATCCAGCTTAGCCAGAACAGAAATTTCCAGGTTCAGTAAGAGACTCGGGCTGAAGGGAATAAAGGAGAAAGCAACAGAGGACACTCGATGTCATCATCAGACCTTCCAAAACACCTACAGATGTATATACACCCTCAGACAGACATACTCACACACAGACAAACACCCCTCCAATCATCAGTGATCAGAATGCAGTGAGGAGGACATCACACTGGATGAGGATGACATTGCCAGTTGGTTTTAGACTCCTCACACTAGCTGTTATAAGAAAGTCCCACAATTCTGTATCATTTTGGACTAAAAATGCCTGGGGAAGCATGCTGTGTCTCCGCAGGCTACGTTGATGTAGTTGGCTCAAATCTGTCAACCTGACCCCCACCTGTCATAAGCCCTTGCCACATCCCTGGTCATCCAGTGAGCTTCTGAATGTAAGATCCAGGATGGGAGAATTGGCCAATGCCACTCACAGCAAACAGTACTGACAAGCTGATAATTTAGTTTCTGTCACTGTGAAGCAAGGGCTTGACCAGGTAAAGAGAACACCATGGCAGTCTGGGAACAAGAGGGTAAAATGTCTTATGACACCCAAAAAGATGTCTATGAGCCCTGGTCATTTGGCTTTTTCAGGAGGTGTTCCTCCTTCCATGCTGTATCTGCCTCTGATCTCACATGACCCCTGCAAAGCAAATGAGACCCAGACATTTGACCTGACTCACTCAGATCTCTGTGGCTCCCATCATAGCAAGGCTCCTCCCATACTGACATACAGGTGAGTGGTATGTGATTGACTGGTCTCCCTCAATGAACTGTGGCTTCCAGCAGAGTAGTATGATTTGCTTGCTCTAAGAGGCTAACTCCCAGAAAGACTTATAAATGATCACAGAAGTAAACTATTGGATGGGATGGGTCAGTTGGATAAGTAAGTAGATGGTTACATGGGTGTGTGCATATGTGTGTGTATGGTCAGACTGGTGACCAGGTTTGCCCTGGTGCTTCAACCTACCTGCAGCTGCCTTGTCCAGAGGTCATAGATCTTCTCATGGGCCTCCTCACAGAGCCTCTTTGCCTCCTCACAGGACTCTTGTAGTAAAATCTGCTCTCCCTGTAGCTTTTTCTTGTCCTCTAGCAACATTCTCACTTTTTCTTTCAGCTGAGTCTGTTTACTCAGGTGCTGACTGTAGAGGGTGCTGAAATATCACCAAAAATGATGAGCTCAATCTACATCTGCCACTCCTGCCTCCTAATACCATGATTCCTTCAAGGTCCAATGTCCCCATCCCCAACAGCCCTGCACTGGAACCCACATTAGCCATGGAAGCATCACTCAGGTGCAGGCCAAAGCCAGAGAATAGCCAAATTACAGAAAGATTTACACTACTTCTGAAGACCCTGACAGCAAAAAGGATCCATGTACCCCTGAAGGGTGGATCTGCTGCCTCCCCCAAACATACCCTGGTGCTTAACTGTTCACAGTATTGGGAAAACATGAGCAGGTAGAGGGAAACCATGCTCTGAGGGAGACAGAAGACCCATCAGGAATACTTTCCATCCATGTGTCCCATAGAAACCAGCTATGTAAGCTCCTGCCAGAGCCACAGAAACCATTCGTGGTGCAAACTATGTTTTCTGCATAGAAGTTCCAGAAACTGACAGGAAAATATTGGAAGGGGCTCTCAGACTCTTCACACTTAGGAGAACTCAGTCTAGGAGGCACAAGTCCAAGAGCAATAAGGCAGGCTGCTTGCTAAGAGGTAAACAGACTAGAACCACAGCCCTCACTTTGGCTTAAGGTGGAGATGGGAAGAAGATGCTGTGGGATGTCTTTCTGTATGCCGTGAATATGTATTGCTCCCATTGGTTAATAAATAAGCTGCTTTGGCCTATGGCAAGGCAGGAAGGAGCTAGGCATGAAAGTCCAAGAGAGACAGAGAAGAAAGGCAGAGGTGGAAGAGATGCCAGCTGCCACCCAATGAGCAACATGCCAGCAGTCTGGCAATGCAGCAGCCATGTGGGAAAACACAGATGAATAGAATTGGGTTAATTTAAGACGATAGAGATAGCTAGCCTGAAACTTAAGCCATTGGCCATACAGTTTGTAAGTAATGTGAGCTTCTTTGTGTTTATTTGGGACCATTTTGCTCAGGAGGGAGGTGGGACAGATTCCTCCTGGCAGCAGGGTCAGGCAGGACTGGAGAAACTTCAGACAACAAGAAGCAGTCCTTAGCAAGTTCTGGAGTCCACCCAAGTCAGGCACTCACTGGTAGATTTTGGTCTTCTCACTCAGCTCTGTGCACTTGTACAAGGCCTCACTAAATTCCTTGGGTAATTTCTTCACATCCGACATATCCTTCTTATGCTCTATGTTCTGCATCTCATTCTCTGAATTCAGCCTGTGGTAGGGCATAGCCCCAGGAGCAAAGAACCCTGTGAACACAGACCTCAGGGACCCCATGCGTTAAGGTCATGTTTTGTACTACCCTAGCCTACTGAATATCACACCCTGAATGCTATGTACCGGGAATTCATGATGTGCATTAATTAGACTTGCTACCCTGCTCCAGGGCCAGGAAAGCCTGGGTGTCAACAGGGAGGGAGACAGGGCTCCATGAGCTCCCTCAATAGGCCTGGAGAGGTAGACTAGCACTCTAAGAAGGTCCACCACTGTGGGCCTACCTGAAAACTGCGATGACATTTCAACTGGTGTGAGAACAGAAATGCTTTGTCCTTACAAGGATACCCAGAATTCATCATCAGTATTGCCATGCATGAGGCACTCTATGAGGATGTCTTTATAAACTCCCAAGGGGATTCCAATGTGGCACCAGTGTGAGCACAGAGACTGAGTACAGTGATGCTCAAATTGGAGCTCCCTGTTTTCAGCACTGATATCACCTGAAATCTCTGAATCAGGCAAATCCTCAGGACTACTATCAATATCCAACTCAAAAGATCTGAAGGGACACACACACACACACACACACACACACACACACACACACACACACACACACTTTAAGGGAGCCTCTCAGAGACAGTACAGAACACACTGAGACCTAATCCTGAGCACAAAGAGATGCATTTCCCCAGCAGGGCAAGCATGGCATTGGGAGCCTGCCTCTGGATCAGTCAAACCCAGACAACACGCAGCAGGCTTTTTTCAGCAGTGGGATTTTAAATAGAAAGGTTAAGTCTGTGCTAGGGTGAGTTGCTGAGATCTGATTGGACAGGTTGGCAAGTGTAGCTGAGTAATGAATTTTGATTGTTGGACTTTGGTGTTTAGTTTCAAGAATGAGTCAATGTCCACAAAAGGGAATGAACTTTGGGGACTAAATTAAGGAATGCAATCTAATGGTTTATCAAGGGAGAGGGAGGTGAAAAGCGCAAAACCTGAGACTACCATGTTTGTGATATTTGGACCCCTAATAGGGCAATTCACATGCACACAAACCCATCCACAATTAAGATGCCAGAGAAATTCAGGTGGGTGGCATTGTCTCACAGTATATGAACAAGACCAGAGAGGAGCCAGGATGGACTTCAGGCCTTCCAGTCACACACAGAAGGACCAAGTAGGATCACCAGGCCTTTCAGTCTGCTCCCAGAGCAACAAGCAAAAATAAATATCTGGTCAAATACAGAGACTCAGGTTAAACTCAGAGCACCCAGCATCTCCTACAAGCCGACACCTGCCAAGGTCTCTTGAAATGCATGTTGTGATCTTACACCCTAGTGCCCCTCTCTGTGGATTGTGATTCAGGCTACAGGCTCTGGTTTTCATTAGGAGGAATCAGAACAACCTGTGTCCCATCTCACTCCTACAGGCTTCAGTTCTGCCTCTCTGATGCATTCAGGAAAATTTGCTTGTGCAGGTTACCCTGCAGGTGCAGCTTCCAGTGACCTAAGGACTGCTGGAATTGACACAGTAAGGTCAAGACAGTCACCAGAGAACAGGACATGATGAATACCTGTTGTTCAACTCATTGTTGTAATGGGCCAGGAATTCACGCAGTTTTTTCCTGTCATTGGTCATCATCTGTAGCTGAAGTTTCAGTTTTTCCACCTGGTTCAACTGCTGCTCTTGCTCAGTGAGGAAGAAGGGTGTGGATGATGCCTTTCTAACAGTCCCTGTAGGTACATAAGCACAAGTGTATTTGTACAGATGAATGGCATATGCCAAGAAGATCATGTGATGTCCCAAGAGTAGGCCTGGGGAAGAGGCAAAGCATGGAACCCAGTGAAGCCCTCAAAGATCAGAGCAGCTCTCCTTAAGCTGGGCCTCATAATCCATGTGTCTGTCTCTAATCACCATGGCTAGATATATGCCTCATCCCCTACTGCAGCCCCACTGGCCCTGAAAGACATAAGCAAGGCCAGCCATGTTGGTTTGGAATTGTCATCTCATACCTGATGTGATGCAAGGAAGTCCAGGAGTCCCTAGTGCTCTTTGCCTGCAGCCCTCATAACCTGTGTCCATGACTAAAAGGAACTGAATGTCTCTGACTTGGGTACATGGATGGAAAATTTCCCTCCTTGGTATTTACATCAGACATAAAGTGCAACAACATCCCATTCTGATACTGCATTAGTGGTTCTGTGCATCCTGTTGCATTCTTTGCCACTCAGAATGAACTGAAGGAGCACAGCAACTGTAGACTTGACCATCCCTGGCCCTGTGCCACTGAACCATCAGAAATCCTTCACCTTGGACCTGCTCTTTAGGAACCCGGATAAGCAACATAGGCCCATTGCTTCATGATCACAGCCACTGAACCCCAATACTAGAAAGTCCAGTTCTAGCCTCACCTCCTCCTTAGGAAACTAGGGCTCTCTCTGCCAATCAGTGTGATAAGTCTTGCCAACATGTCAATTTGGTGAACTCTATAAGTACTTAGTGAATGCCTCAAGGGCAGTTGGCATTGCCACAACACTGGTGGTTTCACAGAAGATGCCAAGGGCTCTCCAGGATACAATAGAATTTCCAGAGAATGGACTGTTAGGGACACTGCCAATGGTCATCACCTATCTGATAACAAGCTCTTCCCCAATTCACCAAAAGCCAAGCTGCCCTTTCCAGGAGCCTTTCCTGAGAAACAGGGGAAGGCCTTCAGCGAACCTCCTCCTTCCAATCCTGAGATCTCTCTGATTCATTAGAATCTAGTTCATTCTAATTCAACAGTTCATCATGTGTGGAGAGCAAGAGTCATTTTCCAAACACTTCCCAGAAATGGCTCTTCTCATTCTTATAATCGCAAGCTAATAAGATGAGAAATTAAGGATGCTAAGAAATTCACTCAGGATAATGGGGAAGGATGATCATGAGATGAACAAGCACATTAGAGAAGATCCACCGGGCAGTTACAATGTATTGGAATGGGGGATGATTATGTGGGTCCTGTCAGAACAATGATAAGTCGTATTGGAAATGATGGAACTTTTGCTAAAACCTTCAGCAGAATACATTTCAGCCATCATGAAGTTAGCAAAAGTGTTATCAACTACTGATAGGTATGCCTGAAAATATTTAAGGACTGGGCATCCCCAGGTGAGCCCTCAGTCACCAAGAACAAATACAAAAAGATTTATGTCCCAGTCCTGCACACAAGGTAGAGGAAAGATGACTGGCTAGTGAGAAGGTAGGAACTCAGAAACCTTAAGGGGTCTCTGACATGTGGCAATACTTGGTGGCTCCTGCCCTGCCAGTGGTTGTTATTTAAAATGTGAGACTCTCTAGATCTGGCCAGGGTTCTTTACTCTCCCTGCTATTAGTGACACACACCAAAAGAAATCCAGTGTGGGTGAAGTGCAGGGCTGGAACTGAAACCTCTTTAGTCCCTCTGTCCTTCCTTCCCTCTCAGAGTGAAAGCAGAGGGCCCTCAACAGAACAGCTGCAGCCTTGACCATCCCTGGCTCTCTGCAAACTAACCATGGGAAATCCTCAACTTTGGGTCTGCACATGAAGAACTCAGAGGACCAGGATAGGCCCATTGCTTCTCAGAAAC